CTGAATTGAGCGATCAATTATTAGACCCGGACGTCCCAACACTTGCTTCGCAAGACAAACTCAAGGTATCCCCTAAAGGGCTACCTTTCGTGAACTGGTTCGGATAACAAACAAAAGGGCACAGTGTCAGAACTTCCATGTGGCAAACTGTCTTGAAAGCAGCTCCAGCATTTCACATTCACACCACACAAACCGTGCGTACGTATGAATGGTAGCACTACAATCCTCCTCTAACGCATTCCACAACCTCGTTGGTGCCCAGTGTAACACAAGTCCCGCGGTCGGCGTTGCTCTGGTGCCAACACAGGAACATGCAACTTCAAAGTATGTCTCAGTCGGAACACTGTATGCTTTAGAAACACTGAAACAAAAGCCGAAAGGCGGCACAGCCTGACAACATCTTCCTATTTGCAGGCTGAGCAATTTTTCTACAGTTCGTGTGTTTTTTTATTCTTTCTTTCGTTCTTTTTTCTTTCTTTTTCTTTCTTTCTTTCTTTCTGTCTCTCTCTCTCTCCCTCTCTCTCTCTCTCTTTTACGATCATTTCCCATGCGCTCTGCGCGAATTCCACACGGAGCCCAACATCTTCAATCCTCGGCGTGCCACAAAAGGCCGGCGGCATAAGCGGCTGCAAAGTTCTTGTCCATCATGGATTCCAAGGTGCAGGCTCATTGGAGGAGGCGGCGGCCACACTCACATCACTAGCATAAGGCATCCGTCTGCAAACACAGTTGGTTTGCAAGTTTTACCTTTACGCATGCGTTAATGGAAGCCGACGCTAGCAGCCGACAAGAAGTTAGGTCAAAGCAAAGGTTGGCCGAAATCATGGGCTCAAAAGCCAGAGTGTGGGACTGCCAACGCACTCCAGTCGCTCCCGCAACTTTAAAGCTAGGCTGGAGAGCTCGAAAACATTGCTCTCTCTCTCTCTCTCTTTCTCCCCTTACATAGGACATAGATTATATTACAAAATGTCTGTTCTAGGATCAAAGGGGTGTGCCGTCTCCAATTTGCCAATGGCCTGACTTACCACCAAGTCCGCCCGCACAGAAGGTGCCGAGGCGTTGTGGAGGGTCGTGCAAGCCGTAAGAATTTTCTGGAGGATTAATCCCAAGCGTTAGCTTGGGGGGGTCTCATCAGAGTTACGAAATGCTGTGTTTTGCAGTGTTTTTGAAGATATATCAAAATTCAACTGGTATCGGGCCAAACGTTTGCGGTTCTGGTTACGCATAATGGTAAAAACTGAATTATCAACATCACAAATGTATGTTTCTTCGGGTAGGCTGCCCGACAGAAGCTTCTTCTTGAGGAAAGAGGTGATTGATATCGTGTGTGTGGTCTTGGTGGAGAGGTCTTGTGGGGGGAAACAATCGGTAGCGCCAGCCACTTGAGAGCACAGATTGCTCCTCCCCGGCTACCTGCGGAAACTGCAAGAACCCTTGTGAACAGGCTCGTGTTTAGATGGGGCTCCAGCGACACAGTTTTCCCTTTACTCTGTGGCTCCCAGCAGTAGAACTGCACCTTCGCCTGTGACCTAGCCAAATTTAAGCGATCGAAGAGCCATCCAGGTTGCTCAACCATCATTCGACGACTGTCTTCCCCCTGTCCAGCCTGGCTCAGAAAATATCGAAAGGCCCCCCCCCGAGCCCCAAAGCAAACAAGTGTGAAGATCTCGGGATGAAACTGCTTCGATCAACCTGGAAAAAAATGAATTTGTTGACTGTCGCCCGCAAACTCACCTGGAAGAGGCAAAGGTTACTGCCAGGTCTGCGCAACAGCCTTAGGTCGTCAGTCGGAGCGCGTCCTCCCAAAATGCAGCTGCACCCACATTTCACCGCTTCGAGCGTCTCATCTAGCACTACTCCAACCATCTTTAACCCATCTTCCGTTCCCCATAGCTGGTGACAGAACTAGGAGCGATTGGACGCTACTAGGGGCTCCTGGCCTTACTACTAGGAACAAGGACGCTACTAGGAGCAAAGGGCATCGCTACTTGGAGCAAGGACGCTACTAAGGGCTCCTTTCTTACCGGGTTCCAATTTTGTCGCTGCAGTTCTTGCCCCATCTACCGGCCTATCGGTCTTCCACACTCTGGACACCTCAAGCCTCAAGCTGTCGCTGTTTGTGCCTACAGAGACCGAGAGAGACAGGAAGACCCGTAGCCAAACAAGCATGACACGAAGAACCAGCCCAGACCAGTGGCCGACGGAAGCGGCGCCCTGGGGCGGCATTCAAGGTCAAGGGCCTTGGCAATGCCATGAGAGGGGTCTTCGCCGGTCTTCCCCAGTCCTAGTCTTGGTAATTTCCGATTAATCTTTGTCTGGGTGAGCAATTATGAGTGTGAAGGATCCCACGCAGCAGTGAGCCATGCATGTCATGTCTTGAACAAGGTCTTGCACTGGCAGCCAAGTACTTTGACTCTAAGTGCTGCTCGCAGTATGAAATCCAGTCCTTGCAGGCTGCGAAGAATGCAGAAAAGGATTGCCCTAAGCGGCATGTGATGCCATCCCTATGGTCCAATCATGACAAGCTACAGCAAACCACCAGCGAGGCTAACCCCAATGGTGAAGAAAGGTATCAACGGTGTCAGGTGTCTCCCTGTTTCTCGACCCCTGGTCCCTTGGTCCCCGTGCTCAACCACTCCAACCAAAAATTACTGTCACCAACTCAAACCCTGTTGTTGCCAATTCAGCAGGTCTGGGGACCAGTAATTGCATGTTTTTTGTTAAGAGGGTGGTAGGCCGCTAGGTACCTAAGAAGTATATAGCTATAAGTAAGCAAAGGAGGTAAGGGAAGCTACTGGCAATAAGTAGCTACTAGCTAGGACGCAAGAACGCGCTCGCATTATTCATGTGGAATGAATCTTGTAAGGGTTAAGTACTCTTAGGTTGGAGGCCATTGCTATTAGGGTGGAGGCCATCGCTGTTAGAAACAAAGACAAAGAAAAGGAAGAAAGCTCTAATAATTTAAAATATTTTAATATAGTTTGCTATTATAGAATGGAAGCCATTCCTAGTAGGTTGGAGGCCATCGCTACTAAATACCGGACTGTTGTTTTTCGATACTAAGTGCCTAAATGCAAAGTTGCCAGCCATGGGGTGCAAATTTCTGATGCAGGATTTTGGCCATTCACTTTCATCCTGTGTGAGATTGGCTTTTTAATGGCAAGGCTCTCGGGGTCTTCCTCTGGAGCAGGATTTTATCCAGCAACCTAGCGTTGGAGATGTATTATCACGTTCTCCACAGCACTTTTCTCCGCTGAGTGTATTTCAGCCGGGTGGCAATGCGCTGGCTGCCAGCTGGGGGTGCCGGTCGGACTCCACTGCTCGAACTCCTCCAAACATACCGGAGCAAACAAAGCCCCATCTTCCCACAATTCTCCGGTGATACTGCCCAAATGAATGGTATTACAGGTACAGCACTGAGGGCTTGGTCATGAGTCAAGAGTTAAGCCAGAAATGCAACATGTATATAACATGGGCAATGTTGGGCGTGTGCTCTCAGAATCGATAAGCATGGAAGCATGGAAGTTGCACCAAAACTTGCAAGGTAGTGACAGAAATGGTTCCAGCACCTGCTGACGGTGCTTGTAGCTTTTCTCCCCGAAAACTTGCTGATCACTGATCAAGCATACATTCTCAAGCATTTAAAGTGAACATGGTTTGTTGATCTTCCCCGGACAAACCCTTCTCTGAATTTGATGTGTTTTATGCAGCATTCTTCCAAAAGCACCATAACAAATACATAGAGTACACTTACAGCAATTGTCCATGTTCATCCCAAGCTCCTAGGGGCTGAGATGAAAAGAGCCGCATCTTGAAGGGAGCGCTGCCACGGACCTGGCAGCCACCGGCCACGAGACTCCACAGCAGACCCTAGGCGTTATAGTGATTCCGTCGTTTTATCTCGTTTCTCGGCACAACTTGTTCTGTCAATGCGAAAACATGCTGAGTGGATTCCCAGTGCAACACAACGAACAACACCTCGCCATGCCGATCTCGGTGATGTTGGGAACTCTAGCATTCTAGCATGAAGATGCTGGAAGGTTCGATCGATTTAGAAAGAAGTATCAACACACACACACCAAGGATTGCCACCATGTGTCCAGCATGAACCAGCATAATCCTGCGCCTCTGTCAACCTCTATATACCCCCTCTTTGGCACCGAGACTCGTTCAGCCGTGCCTCTCCACCATGAGCTACAGGACCCGCACCCAAGGAGAAGGCCACCAACCTCAAGTCACGAGGAAATCCTCAAGTCCCTACATCCCCTTGAAGCGCTCAGCAGAGCCTTTCCCCATCTTTTCAGAACCAAAACTAGGTCCTTATGATTTTGTACACTTTCGTCTGGCATCAAGATCTAGCTTCCTGTTTGGTGCCAAAAGCCCTTCTTTCATCTTGCTTCCATTGAAATCCAAAGACCCAATCCTTATCCATGCAATATCAATCAGAATCCTGTGGGACCTTCATCCCGAGCGGCAAATATCGCTTGCTGGGGTCCTCCAGCTTGGCCTGGCGAGCATGACAGAGTGACGGGAGAACTCTGTCATGCTCAGTCGAGTCTTGCATGGCTTGATGGGCTTATACATATGGGCTCTCTATCCGCAGTCTCTCCAATGCTACAGGTCATGCCAGGGGTCGACAAGACCAGAACTAAAAAACCAAACGATCAAACTCCAGCTATCAATGCTACCAGGACAATTGATCTGGAAGCTCTCAGCTCCATGGTCCGACATTCCTCAGATTTCGGGTGGCCTCAATGCAGCGCCGGGCCATGATGTCTGCGCAGAAGAAATTGCCACCAATGACCTTTCAGCGACTTCGCATCCAACGGTCGCGACGTGGAGCAGTGGAGCGGCTCTGCTGGGCGAGCGGTGGGGGCAGCGGTGACCGAAAAACGAATGCGAATGTGAAGTGATTGCGAATGCAGGTCAACCCTGTCAAAGTTCCCTGCCGCATCCTTCCTCCAAAACTGCCAACACAATGGATCCCAACAACCAAAGCATGGTCTACTCAGCTGTTTATTATGGGTGTATTGGTAAACTCAGCGGTTGGATCACAATCATCCAAACTGCTCCTTGAGCCAACAACCACCAGTTACTGCTCCTCCAGATTGAATCTCTGCCTGCTCGAATTCGCCGGCCTGACCTCGGTGGGTGCAGATCTCGGTATCAAACAATGGATGGTCCTACCACTTGATTAAAGAACGATGGATGGTTTACAAATACATACAAATACAAATGAAAAGAAAATGACATGAAAAGACCACAGTCGATATGGTAAAAAACTACTTCGCTGGCGTCTCTTTGACCTTCAGTCAATATGGCGCAAGGCACTTCACCGTTGTGGTAAGTGCACCTCGCAGGAGCGTCAAGCGCCCACAAACCCAGTCAAGCATCAGGCATACAGCCCATTGGCAGCGCGAGTCTAATCGACAGTTTCACCGTGAGTATCGCCTCTTCTTATTATTTTGCCTTTGAGAAGAGGCAGCTGCCCACGTGAATTGTGCATGCCGGTCTTTACACAGCTTGGGTCAGGTTGCAAGCAGTGACGCCGGCTACAAAAGCTTGCTTGAATTCCACGGCTGTAGAATCAAATCTGCTGCCACAATTTGGCAGCCGTGTCAAAACCGAGGCATCTCGAATTCCGTCATTGGCTCACTGTGCAGCCTCTTCCTCACTCTCGTGGATCACAATGGCATCTTCAGCAGCAAAATCCTTCCCCGCAAAGCAATAGTCGAACATGCAGGTCTCCATGTTGGCCGGGCCTTAAGGTCTCAAGAAGGACGAGGAAATCAAAGGCACTCAAAGGCTCTTTCTTTATAGACCGACATGTCTGATCCTGAACACCTAGTAGTACCCACACTGAACAGAATCCTTCACCAAACTCTTCTCGTCTTGGCTTCTCGGCCTCTTAGGCGGACTTTTGGGTCCCCTTGGGACAAACCGGACCTTGCGATCCGATCCGGAGTCTAGGTTACCAAGCACGAACGAGTAACATGCTGACCCGAGCGCCATGGGATGCCCTGCTAGTTTGTGAAATCTTGTTTGACTTCTTCTCACATACAAGAAGCCACTAGTAACACGGGTACTACAGACTACTGGTAACAAGAAGCTACGTACTAGTAACCACATACTCGTCGAATGAGCATCACATCGGGATTTCAAGTCTGCCAATGAACAAAGACGGGGCACCATGCGGAGCCTGTCATGAACCGCACCTTGAATAGGACAATCCAATTTGCCTAACCCCAACCCCCTCAAATGCATCTCTTTCATCTCTTTCCCATTTGTATTTTATATATATATAACTTTGGAGTGCAACGTGTAGACGGAATTTCCTTTGCGCCGGAGGTTGTTCACCTTGTAGTGCTTAAGGATCGCTCTTTCCACTAGGGTGAACATGGGCGAAGGGATTGTTTGGATAGATCTTCTTTATCCATCTATGCAAAGCTTAAAGCTGCCGCTCTGGTGCCAAGGTCGCTTCCCTCAGCATGGATCATGGCTTCGCAGGCCTTCCTCGCCTTCTGCTGCACCTCCAGATTTAACGGAGAACTTGGAAGTTTGACTGTTTCAGCAACATATCTAGAATCATATTGCCTTTCGCCTCTCAAACAGAACAAAACTGGTTTCCCTTGTCAGTCAACTACTTGTTAGCTGGTGACAAATCATGTGTTGTTCAATGGCTGAGAAACCCAGAGTGCGTGCCTGCGGCTGGCAATCGGCTAGGGTCCTCTCAGCAAAAGCATGTGCGTGCATCTGGGCACCTCATCACGTTGAAGTTGTGGTGCAAAACAGTTGCAACACCATTTACTGAAAGCCTGCAGCTGCAATTGGTGAGAGTCATATTCAACACAGTAGCCTGCTGTCGCAAGAAGGCTGTAGCTACGACTTAGACTTAAACACCAGGGCACACTGCTCTTTTGGTAACCCTTTCCTTTTTGGTCGGACAAGTAGCTGGTTGCTAGTTAATTTCAAATGGACAACGCCAGCTTGGTCACCCCTTGGTAAGCCCAGGAATTGCATGGAATGACATCAACAAATTCAGGATGCTTCAGGCCAAGTTGCCATCTGGAAAAAGGCTCTCCGAGGGGGAGACTACAGTGCCCATCCGCTCCAAAATCTTCTCCTCAGTGCTCACACTTGCAGGGGTACACTCGCGCTGGCAAACACTTGCGAGGTGAGTCTTTACGTAGATCCAATCTAAACATTTCTGAATGATTTGCGTACTAACAATGTACTAACTAGTGGAAAGTCCTTCAGCACGAGGGATTCCTTTTTGTGGTCCCCAGGACTATCCTCATCAATGAGTTGTGGGCTGGTGGCAAGCTACAGCCGCAGAAGATGTCAAAGGTGCATGTTTCGACAAGGTCGATTGAACAAAAATGACAAAATAAGTGGCAACCTTTGAACAGGATTCGATATCCGATGAGATTGAACAACGCTTAAATGGACTGGAAGACACCCCAGAAACTTCAAAGCAAGAATATTTGGACAGGATATACTTTGCAGAATTATATATCTGGCGGGACAAAACTTGAATCTTTGGAATAACACCATCTTCTATTCTGTTCTACTCCATCGATCAAGATCCAACATCACAGAGCAAAAGGCTGCCTCCTAACGATGCCAATGATTGTTCAATGGGGAACCAACAAGCTGGGACCCCTTGGTCTTTAGCGGATTTTGGATTTGAGCTCTGTCTGTTGCTTGTGTCCGGCTATTTATAATTCTTCCTCTAACTACGACGAATACTAAGTCCAATGGTCCAATACCCATGCCGAGCTGATGGCGTACTGTACTTATCATCCCCTTTTCAAGCTTACCCGGACTGATTTGTTCGTTGGCATGATTACCTGGTCTGTCTTCCTGTCCAAATCCTCCCGAAGCTTCCCGTCCTTGGAATCATCCGAAGGATCGAAATTGAAGTTGCCACAATGGCCATCCTGCAGTGCAAAACACAACATATATATATTATAACTTATCGGACTTATCGCTTCTCTATATACTTCCGGCGGCAATATAACAAAGAAACAAGTCAGAACACACACACACACACACGAACATGATGTAAACATACAGTCAAACCTCTCAAACATTCTCAAACACACTTCAAAGGGATCCTATGTGCTAAGCTACACAAGCTAATGTAGGCTACGTACCATCAAAATAGTATCCTCGCAACATGTGCCCGCAATTCTTTTCGGACAGTGGTCACCTATTCCGAGGCTGATGTTGATAGTTTCCATCCAACATAATGAAACCCGTGGCCTGTCCATTGAGTTGTTGAGGCATTGTGATGATGGCATCAATGTGCTCTGGCCAACGGTTGATAGTCAGTTGAACGTTGCCTTGCACCAAGCAGGTGATTGATTACACACTCGAATGCGGCTTGAATGAGATCCACTTTTCTTCAGTGATCTTTACTGGAGTTCGCAAACAGTGAGATTGTGCAGTCCGTAATGGTGCATCATGATTCATGGCTCCAGAAAGCGTCACAGTGTCGCAGAGTTTTCTCTACTGGAAAGCAGCGCTCTTGGTTTTTCTCTTAAACATTCTCTCTATTATCTCCAGAGTCATATTGCCCATCTCCAGAGTCTAGGCTTTTCCTAGACACGCTAAACTTCTCGCCAAGCTACGAACGAAGAAGGCCTTGACCAACTTCACAGGATTGCCCGAAAGGACATCATCAATGTGCTGCTCACCTGAGGCGTGGAGAAGGGTCGTCGAGTGGAAGTCTTTCGGGGAAGCAGGACCTAGTAAGGGGGTAGACAAGAAAGGAAAGGAACGAAAGGTTCAATGAAAGAAAACAACATGCAAAAGGACACAACAAGAACGACGACTCTCTGTAGAAGACGAGAGTTCTTGGAAATGACGTAGAAATTAAGGCATTTCTTGCTTGTCAAACGAGCCGAGATTGAATCTGGGTACGGAAGTCCATTTCTCATCATTTCTCCATCTGAAAACCAAGCAGCCCAACAAGCACTGCAGTTTTGCGCGGAAATAGGATAAAACAGGTTGTAGCTGCTACAGAGTGTAGTAACTACTCAAGTAGCGAGTAGCAAAAATAGGTAGTCCGCGAACTTGAGCAAAGTGTGGAGGATTTCAATCCTACTTGTGAGCGCCACTCACAAAATCTCACAAACACATATTATGGCTCTTCACAACCTTGTGATTTGGCGCAAGTCACCATCCAAGTACTTGAGCCTGCAGAAAGGCTTGGCAAATTCAGAGGGGATCGATGGCAGGATGTGCTCATTGTCCCAGGTCATCTTGTCTTTCGTAGGCCGAACAATGAAGGTCGAGTTGTTGATGAAGGATCCGCTAATTGCGAGCTCAAGCAACGCTGACCTCTGTCTGGGGTTTGCGATTCGTGCATGGAGGCTTGAAACCTCGACTCAAAAATCTTTAAAAATTGCTGCTGATAGACAAAATCCGTTGCCATTGACACAAACTAGTTGCAGTAGGTTTCCTCACTGTCAATGCATTGTGTATTATCACCAGACTCAACGCCCAGTGGCTGACCCGCCACTGTGTAGATGGTGGTACCATATCGACCCTGAATTTGAATGTCCTCGCAGCTTCCATCTTTTGCTGGCAAGAAGTCAGGCACAGCATGTTTTCTTTGTCCACCAGAATCACCAGAACTGAACATTTCAACCTCAGGTCTGGCAGCAAACCAATGGCCCATGGCGCTTTAAAGGGCCATGTGAGATTACATCGTTTAAAGTCCTGGTTCTTCACTAGCCAATAGTCGCCGCTCGTCAAGATGGACACCGGTGGACCGGGCTCTGCACCAAAAAGGCCACTGTCGAAGGGGCTGATGTGTGGATCGCCCCAAATGGTGCAAGAACCCTCAGCTGATATGATTCCTATATGCCCATCATGCATATTGGTTTTTCAAGTGTTCATCTTTCACCATCTCTTTTGAAAACAAATCCTTCACAACAAGCTGCTTTCACCGGGGTGATGCTGGTCTCCAGGCGGAACTCAGAGCCACAGCACCTTCGCTCAGCAAAGAAAAAGCTCAGCTCCACGGCGCTACCCTGCGGGGAACTCAGCCGATGGACAAATGGTGCAGAACGACAATAATTAGAGTTTTGGAAGCTACTAGGGAGCATTCTTACTACTAAGAACAAGAAGCAGGTG